CCGCATGCATATTCATTTTTGCACCGAGTTCTATCAATGACATGCAAGAAGCCATGTGCAAAAACTGTCATATACAAGCGTCTTCGCATTTGTATTTTCTCTTGTCAAGTAGGGCAACGGAGATGTGTCCGTTTATTGATTCCGCGCTCCGAACTTTTTCCAATTTGTTTTCAAACTGGAGGACGAAGTCACGGCTACGAGTTATTTCGAGAGCTCCCGCTACTGTTACTCCAGTATCGTGTGAGTCGATAGTTTGACACACGTATACAACAAACTGTCTGCAGACAGTATTTATCCTCGCCACTAAAATTATCGCCATCCGAGACTGTTTTACAAATTATTCGTGATTATAAATTACCGACGTCTCGGATTTATATAATTCAGAACGCAAACAAATATCTTTTCTTGCGACATGTAAATATGTTTCTCGCGTGGCACAAAGATAGTTGATACAAAATAATAAATGAAACAACTACATACACACGATTATATATAATAGTTTATATAATTACATAATACAAATGATTGTATAAAAATATCATATAAAATTCCCATGAAAAATTATTGTATATAATTATTTACATAATTACATCAAATAATTTGCGCCTCAAAGAGCAGCCGTGTGAGCCAGTGTTGGAATATTCTCAGATATATTAGTATTTATAATTATATACGCACAAAAAGCTCGAGGAAGCAAGCTTTTAATATTCCATTACGCTAGCTTACAACACGCTCGAAAGTCTCTCAACACAGCATCGTGCAATGAAAGCTAAATCCGGCGCGTAGCGAAAGCCCGAGTCTCTCTTTTTTTTCGAGGGACTTACAGTTGCGTAGCAATAAATATCGGGCTCTATTGCGATGCAAAAAGAAGAGGAAGAGAGCATCGGACGGATATAAAAGAAAGAGGAACGAGGTACGCTCGATTAAAAGCATTTGCGCCATCGTTTGCAGCCCACGATTGCTCCCTCTGAAATATTCAAAAGAAGCCGTTAAATCCCTTTCTCCGTTCACTACGGCTTCCGCCGCCCTGCATCTTCGCGCTTACTTTCGAGCACAACCCGACACATCGTTCTAATCTCTGAAAGCGCGTCGCGTGTTTGACGGGGAAATTATTAACGAGTCACATTGTACGCCGACGGTCTCTTTGGCAGGAATCTTTGCGCCGTTCGCGCCGCATTTAATAGTCGTTTAATATAAATCGCCGGCGATATAAAGCGCCGGATCACGATAACGCCTCTTGCTCACGCGAAGTCGCGCATCGAAGTCGAGCAACGTCACTTCGCGAAACGAGAGACGCGAATGCGAATTCGTCGGGTGGTAATTCGAGTCCGCGAGAGACGGAAATTGTCTGCGACAAATATCACGTGACGACGCATCCGTCTCGCGTGATACATCGACGTACTCTTGGCGCCACGCTTCTTCGCTCCAGTCACCTGAAAGAACTCGGGAGAGGTAGACAACGAGGCCGTTCGGCCTCAGGGTATGCTCCTGCATCCAGGTACAAAGATCCTTATTGGTAGACGACGGCAAACCTCACGGCGGAGACGCCGGAAGCTCTTGTCTCTCGGGAGCTTTCGAGAGAGCTTCGTCTACGCTCGAGGTATCCCGGCTACGACGCGAATCGCCCGAAGGGGCGCCCCGTGCCTTCCTTACACGAGAAGGAAAACTCGTGTTCTCGGTTCGAGGCATTTTGAAATTCGACACCCGGTAGAGCGCGTTGCCTTCGACGCTGATCGCAATGTCGGCCTCGCGTGTGTGTATACATTCGAGGCAGAAGAAAGCTTTTACGCACGAATATACACGCGACGAGGGCGCGGGCAGACGTCGTCTGGGAAAGACCCAGCTAATTTTGCTAGCCGCGCGCCGCGTCGCACCGGGACGACTCGCGCCGGCGACCCGGTGCGAACAAATGTTTCTGGGTCTTCGCGCGACCGGAATTCGCACTTAAAAGTCACTCGTCGTTTAATCGACCGAATCTCCGATAAATGATTAGCGAGCGGCCATGCGATTTCCCGGCCAATCGTGCTCGATCTTCCGCGAGCAGGATACGTATCTAAGGTAAAACTACATTTTTCAGATACGTACTTGAATTCTGAACATTTATTTTGATCTTTAAATAGTAATATTATGAAGAATATAGTATGTGTGTATATTTGATGTATTTTTTATGTGTCAAAAGTTTAAATATTCGTATTTAAAGGGCAAAACAGTGAGAATGTTTCAACAGGATTAGCTACATTTCCCGGTACTTTTACTTGAAAGCATGAGATTTCCTCTCGAGTTGTGATGCGTCCTACTATTACGATAGGAAAACACATTTACTCTCCTAATATCTGTAGCTCGTTTGACCGAATGAATTTTAATTACATTTCCAATGGTGATTCGTGCAGGTGCATTGTTCCGAAGAGAATAACATCATCGTGAGTGGCGTTTTATTAGAACGTACGTGCACTCATCTTGCTCTCCTGTAAAGCTTTTATTCCTTCTAGTTTCATTCGGAGAAGAGCAGTGTAGTTCAGTTGAACTCCTGGAATTATCTTGTGTATTAAAAATATAATTAGTTGGCGCATTATTAGTTGCATTAAACTAATTATGCGGCAGGACGCGCCAGACGCTTCTATTTGCGCGCGATATTTGATTAGGCGAGTTTTTGAAGAAACCATGTTTCGCGCACAAACTCCGTATAACCGGACCGAAATAATTAAATACACCCGCAAACTCCCCGGCATTACTGTATTTCTAAATGTGACCGCTGTTTTGCAGAATTTCATTTCCTGCGCGCTGAATTCTCCGTCGACTGCCGCGGAGTCATGCCGAGCGCTGTTCTAACGAAACATTCGTGATAAAGGGGCGAATTTAATTACGAGCTCGCGAGATCTACAATGCTCGCGTGGAAACATTACGGCGGCATCGCTCCGGTAGTTGCTCCGCGTTGCCGCAGTTCTGAACTAAAAGTGAAAAACTCAAGGCACGGAGGTGTAAGCCGCCGCGGTGCAAGAGGCACGAGGCCGGCGCGAATAAAAGGATATCCCACGCAGAAAGCCTGATGATAAACCGTCAAGCATGAGCACGCGAAACACGTGCGAAGGTACACGGCGCGGAAAATTATGCGTCGCCAATGCGCGACTGTCGTCACCGGCTGCGACAATGATGAGACAACAACAGCGACAAGGATGAGGACGACGGTGACGGAGACGCTATCGGGAGACGCTTTTCGAGTTAGCGGTACTTTGCAAACACCCGGTCTGACTCGCGGAAGGCATAAGCGGCGGCCGCCGCGACCTGGACCTTCGGACGATAAAGTTAATGGACTTCATTTACATGGCATAATTGCGACGAAAGCGGTGCCGGCACTCAAATTATACGCGAGGACCAACGACCAGAACCGAGAGCAAAGGTGCCCTTTGAATATTCGGTATGCTTAAAACACTCATTTACACTGCACACGTCCGTTAAGTACGTCGCGCGGCTCCGCGAGAGACTGCGAATTAATCGGCTTGCTGGACGGCGTAAATGTGCAAGAGACATACATAAACGCGAAGCGCAGAAAGTGCATGACGATAATGCACTCGCGAAGTTATCATCGAATTAACCCTTCGACGATTAGGTGAAATTATGAGACGCGAACAACAAGGTGGCGACATGTATGACCCCGACGTTTCCCGAATTTACTTTTCCTTCTCACTCATATTAAAGTCTGCATCGGGATAAATAAACAACGACTTAACGAGAATCTTTTTACTGTATAACAATATTTTTCCGTATCTGGACTCTGGATAGCAAACATATTACAAAGTTTCAATGGATCGAGTTGGAAATACACCGAATTGGGTCTTCGCTGACCCCGCCTTGTTGTTTAAGGGTTAATTCAATTGTCACCCATCGAGAGACACGGCTGTATGTACTCTCTCGAGTCTCCCCTTTCAGCCAGTTTAATGATTTATCACTGAAGAAATGAAAAATCTCGTCGTAGGACACGCGAGAAATTTAATTTCACCTGGAGCCGCCGTCGAATCCGTTTATCCATATTGTCCGTAATCTCATGACATATTACCTTAAACCGGCGCCAAGCGACGGAGATAAAGATATCGAGACTCGGCGTAACGTTCGGGTTCCTCGATTTTACTTGCACACACGCATACGGAAGCGTGGGCTTAATGTGACTGCGGATTACGTTGGACCGGCGCCACGAGTCCGAGCGGAAATGAAGGGAAAAACGATGATCGGCCGGACACTTTCCGCGAATGAATGATGGTGACGGCTCGCGCCGTATCCTAGATCCTAGGCGATAGCGCGAGCGAGTGTGTCGCGTTCCGCTCACGGAGCCTCGCGAATGCGAATGCAAATCGCGGCTATCCATTTCAGCCGATAACCCCGCACACCAGGTCGGAGCTCCAGGCACGTGGCCGAGTATCGGCGCGAGCCGATATGCGCCGCGTGCGCGGGAGACCGCGATCGCCGATCTCATCGATCAAACGGAAATTACGTTTATCTCGACACGGGTGCGTCATCGCGCCCTGCAAATGTCGTGGAGCTCGCCGGTACATTTTTTTCGCGAGCCCAACGGGATATCCGTGATGGCGGAAACTCTCAGGGTGTCCGCGGAGAACACCGCCGGTCGACCAGCTCGGAAAAGCAAACGAAGCCAGCGTGCGAAATGCAAAAACGGCGAGTTTCGCACGAGAACGAAATACCGCGAGAGAAATCGCGTTATCTGGTCTCCGGTTGTTTATTCGTCGCCGTCATTTTATTCCTCTTCCTTCCTTGATTTTTTTCAGCAAAATTATTCCAACTATGGCAAATTTATATTATATTTAAGATTGTTACGTTGCGAATTATTGAGTGATCAGGTATTCAATGTGCGTTTGAATCTTTGTAAGAACGTAACAAAATTTCAATTCTCGCGCCTTTTCTTTTCCGACGGACCGAACATCTTCAGGACATTAAATCGACCCGGTTCCGCGACAAAGACAACGAAGAACGAGTGCTCGCGAACTTACATAGCTCCTGTACGATGCCATGATCCCGTGGTCCACTTGGAGACAGCGAGGAGACCGTGATAGGAGGGGACGAGTCCTCCGAGTTGCTTCCTGCAGTCAGGTTCACCAAGCACCACCGAGCACACGAGCACTCACACCACCGTCACACGATTCACCGGCGCGTATCGCAACGGGACGTTGAAAAGGAGAGGGCAGGTCGCGGTATCAAGGTCGCGTGCGGAGAGCCGATCGATCGTATCGAGGGAGACTTCCTTGTGCGGCCTTCTCCGCGAGAGGAAGGTGGCGAGCGCTGTGAAGGCGCTTCGTTTCGGACGAAGCTCGGACCCTGAAGAACCGGCGACCCGCGAGGCACGCCGCGGGACCCTCGCTCGTTCTCTTTCTCTCTTTCTCTCCTTCGCCCTGTTACTCTTTCTCTTCTCACTCGCGGTCTCGCTGCCTCCTCTTCTTCCTTCTTCTCTTTCCTCGGCTTGCTCCCTTCTGCTCGCCTCGTGGAGCTACGGGATCAACTGCTCCTCGTCGCTCTCTTTCGTGCGGCCGCTCACTCGAGCCCTATTTTAAGAATAGCTTTATACCTTCGCCGTCTCGCTCGTCGCTTCTCTGCCTCCTTCTCTTCTTCTTCTGTTTCGTACTCGTGCGCGGTCGCAAGGGAAGAGACTAGGGCCGCGGATAAATCTCGCGGAGATACGTGCATTTCCGCTCGGGCGGAAACGGGATCGCGACGTTGAAGACGAGAGAAGTAGAGATGAGAGGATGTCGACGAGGTCGACGAAGTCACGAGTGACTGGCAAACGTAACCTGAAGTTAACTCTAGACTTGACAAAACTGCTACTCACGGACATTCGCTCCGCCGATTTTGCCACGAAAAACTCACTCTACGAATTTGAGAAGAATCTTCATCTTCAATTTTACTTTTCTCTCTCATAGAAATATTACGTTTCTATCTGGAGCATCTTATTCTTCGCGAAGTTGCACATCGTCAAAGGATGTTCGTTCGTTATAGCAATTGAGAGTGCTTCAACGGCCAGGTCGAGCTACTTAAGACGCGGTTGAAACTTGTCTATCTAGTCATCGAATCTCGAAAAGCCCTCGCAATCGCCCGATGTTCCGGAAGGAAGCGGTCCACCCGGGAGCAGGGACAAACTACTTGTGAAACTATGAGCGTCTTTACCCAGGAAATGAGGCCAGTGTCGCCGCAGGAGCATTTCCAGCGGCTGGATCCTTAGAGTGTTCTCTTCGCGCGAGGCACCCGCAGAACTCCTCGAATGCGGAAACTCCTTCCGAGGGAAATCGGTGGTGCGGCACTCGCAAACAGGATTTACACCGTTATCGTTACCGGGTCCAGAGCGACGCAAAAGGGCAAGGACGAGGAAGGACTCCTTCCGCGCGCGGTCCGCGAGTAGCTCCGAAGAATTCCGCCGAGTTTCCGAGTTGGCGCTGGAATGTTGACGGATCTCCGCTTCAACTCTTGGACTGATTAATTGAGAGGATTCCTCCGGCTTGAAAAGTTCCGACGCGTTCTCCTCGCGCAAACATTTGCCCACGCAAATCTGGCTTTTTTGCCGTTTTCTTTTCGCCATTAACTTACTCAGCATTATCAAAGGAAAGGGCGCGAAAGCGGTCTCTCGCGAGAACTGAAATTTCGTTACGCTCTTATCAAGATTGGAACGCACATTGAATATCTGATCACTCAATAATTCGCAACGTAACGAGCTCAATAATAAATATAATATAAATTTATCATAGTTAGAATAATTTTGCTGAAAAAAGCTGAGGCTAAAAAATTTCATTTTACTCGACAAATATGGCATGTTTGAGAAAAATACATGCAAGTGTAACTATTATAGTTGATTTTACAATTTATCGTTGATGTGTGATTTACGAGCAAATTTCAAACACATATATTTTATAATTCGCCGATAATTTTGATACCTTTCTCTATTTCTCTCTGATAATAGCCAAGTAGACTTTGTGCTGCCAACTCACGTGAACTATTAGAACGATATCGTCGCGCCGGGCTGCGCGGCCGACTGATAAGTTCTGCATCGGAAAAGAGACAGAGAGGACTGATGTTATCCGTGGAGACTTGAAGCAGAACATTGACGTCCGAGTTGAGAGCTCCCTAAGCTGGTGGCGCTACGAGAATACCCACGAAAGCTCCGCGAAGCTTTTCAAAGTCGTCAACGGCGACGGACGTCTTTGAAATTAATATTATATAAACAAGGAAATAATATATCAAATATAATTTGTGTCAGAAATCGCTCGCCCTCGTCGCGATTAATTGCAATTTAATTGATCCACCTGTTAACGCTGACGATGCGTTATTAATTATTTCCAAGCAGTACGCTGTCAGCTGTTAATGTTGCAACACGTCATTAACTATCTCTGCGTAACGCACCTACACTGGATGTCCTCGATAGATCGCCTTTCCACCCACCTGTGTCGTTCATTAAACCGCTCCATTTTCGACACGTTGAACTTGATAATTAAAAATTGCATGTTTAATATGTGAATCGAGTCCGCCCACGTAATTAACATTTGTTTACGTATTTACAAACACGAAACCTGATCCTAATCGTCGATCGCTCTTGATTTATCATCCATCACAGTTCAAAAACTACTCGTACTCTAATGTTAAAATATTCATAATTTCTTATCCATAGTTTCATCATCAATAATATCTCTCTTTCGAGAAAATGCGAGGAATCTCTGGCGTGTTTTGTAAATCGTGTCAATCCTCTCGTGTATCACCTCGACGCGATAAAACCATGTCGCAGGACAGACCCGAGAGGGAATGTTAGGCTTAAACTCGTTACCTAGATCCGCGACGACGTTGATAGATTCCGCGTAATCCCCATACCTGCCGCAACTCAGCCGCGATCAGTCGCTCAGTGTCGCTAATTAATTTCGAACGGTGTGGAGAGAATCGCGGGAAGAAGACTCCTGCTCTCCTTGCGCCGCGATTTCCCGCAGACGCATTTCATTCCAGATATAGACACAGTATATAAACACTATAACAGTGGTAATAAAGATGTCGGCGTTTCCTCTTTGACAGCTCATAACGATGACGAAACGATACGATCTGTAGGATCTCAGTTTGTAGATTATTTGATCGCAGGTGTGTGGAATTCAATGAGAAAAACATGTGAATATGAGGACAATTTAAAATAAAATCACGCACGCCACGACTTTATTTTCAAATTCCGCAAATATTCGTGTATATTTGTCTCGCGGGGATACATCGAAATGAAAATAGAAAACTATCGTGGTGAGACCAACACATGACTGAGGAGAAGAGTTTATGATATTTCGTAGGTCTTATCCCACTTTCTTGGTAGATACAGACGTGTATTCTTCAGACAGGAATAGAGCGACTTAGTCATCCCGAGTTTCTCCGGCAATGCCGAAAAGCTTTGGCCCGAGTTTTTCGTGGCAATTTTGGACGGTGAGTCAAAATCGTCACTGTGAATTGCAAATACACTTAATCGATGAACATATAATTTTTCATAAGAGGAAAAATGGAAGAGAGAGAGGAAAATGAGAGAGAACGGCGTTGGTATTTATAACAGCAAACAATTTAAAAATTCACGCAGCATCGCGAATGATCTCGATCATCCTCGTGACACGAGTAGATGCATTTTGTATTTTAATAGGGATCAATTTGTGACTCTCCGACACGGGCGTAAGATTTACATAATAATTTCATACGATAGGAAAGAGAGAGAGAGAGCGTGTATCTCTCTCATGAGCTCAGTTATATTATATTTGGCGCGGTTATATGCAAATCGCGCGCGATCAAAATTGCAGATTACGTATTAGCGTGCGCCGGCTCGATTTACATCTTAAAAGCGGAGCATACCGTATTGTTTATGGCTGCGGAAACTATTTTCAGAAGCGTTGTTATACGGCGGGCATGATAGTAGCTGGCGTGGATGACCCGTATTTCCCAGAGAGATAATCTTGCCGAAAAATTTGTCGGATAACTTGATCCCAGCGACGAACGTTCGTAACAAATCGAGCCGATCTCGGCGATCGTAAGACACACAAGTGCGTAATAACGTCAGCAGGGCGCATAACCGTGTCCAAACGTTTCGATCTTCGTCGCATGTTTCATCGTAAATTTAGCGTCTTCATCATTAGCAAGAGGCTCTTAGTAACCATTCGAGAATCCACCTGTTGCCCTCTTCCTGAATTCTAACCCGATGGGCTCTATAATTATCGAGCAAAATGCGCGCGGCAGGTGCGGAATTATAAGAAACAGCCGAAAATCACGTTATAATGCGAAAACGGGACACGATATTAATAAAATTCACGACGACCGTGTGCCCGAACGCGTCTTCGGTGATTCGCAAAATTCAATTGAGAGCACGTTGATAACGGCGAGGAATATTCATGTTTTGCGAACAATCAATGGGCGATTGGAAAATTAAGAGCATTCGACACAATGCATGCGCACTCGAACATATAACAGCCGGAAGGGGTGTTATATTTAGAAAATTGGAACAGCGCGCTAATTCAACCGTTCGAAAATCGTTGGTCTTTTTGAGTAAAGCGATGGACCAAGGAACAACGTGGACTTCGTTGTATTATTTACCTCGCATTATTACTAATATCGTTATGCCCCAGTTATAATCAGCAAACAAATAGGGACTTCAAAGTCCAAGGTCCCGCAAATTAAAAACATGTAATATGCAAAGTCCTCGGTGAACATGGATTTTCCTCAGGTGCGATTGCTCCATTTCCACGTGTTCACAAAGACTCTTTGTCAAATTATCTTCCCTCTTTGGTCCTTTCGTCCCTCAGTCTTCCAGAGTAAACAGAACGCACGGTACGATCCAGAGGGCTGGAGCACAGTCTTCTCGCGAGTGTAGGAAAAACAGCCGGGAGGAAATCAGCGAGGGTATTCTATTACACGTCTCACATTCGCGCGCATAAAGGACGATGTAATAAAATTTATTCGCGATAAGAAACAGCTGGTGCTCCGAGTCCGGGGAGGGGAGAGGGATGAAAATAAGGAAGACGGATAGATGAGCCGAAAGATTTATAGAGGAAGAAAAAACGAGGGTGCGTCTAGCCCGCTCGAAGGAGTTAAGTAGGGACCTGAGAGGGGGAGTTGAGAGAGCTATTTTCGCGTCCGGTCCGAGACGATGTACCACCTCTTTTCTCTAACACCTGGAATTCTCCACTAGAGTGAGCCACATATCGCGGAGGAGGAAGAAGAGAAGGTGGTGGTGGTGGTGGTGGAGGTGATGAGCAGAATGACGCAGGGAAGGGGCCAATCTCAAATTACTTGGTGAGCTCTCCGAGCTAGGCCGACCAAGCATCTTTGCCCACCATCGCCCGGCGACCTTTTATAGACACTCGCCGGTAGTGGGGCGAGGTGGGAGGTCGAGGAAATTGTGCGAAAACTGGCAATTCGACGGGAAAAAGAGGGAGCACTCGGCCGGCGCGTCCGGTAGCGGAGAACGGAGCGGATGAATGCTGATGAAGAGCGAACACTGAAACGCTGGCCCAGCAAAGAGCTCTTGCGTCGTCGAGCATTGATTGCATTTCTCGTGACGGATACCATGAAAATGATGAAATTCACAGCATTAATAGAGGATAACATCCCGCCCCATCGTGATAATTCACGATTTTTACTCGTCAGAGAATAGTTTTGACGGACAGAATGAATATTGGTTTGCAAATTTGAACGATTCGACTGAGTGTATCGCGAGGAGGGAGGCGAGCTTCTTCGATCTTCTCGATCGCTAGCCTACTAGTGGCGTAACCATGCGCGGTACTCGCATTTCTTGTTGTCGTATTGTCAACAACATCGTCTGCGAATACCAAAATTTGGCGCGATTTTAGGCTCACGATAGGACCGACCGGGTTTCGCGATCAATGAAACACGGAATCGATGAGTCGAGCGATCGATGAATCTGTAGAAATGGATCGTCCACGTCGCCGAGCAGTGTCCAGTGAAAAATTTCTTGGGCTTTCGGTCAAGTGCAGAGCACGTGAAAAACTTTGTATTTTTACACGCTCTTAGGGTCTCATAAATAACGTAAACAATGTAGGCGTCGAAATCGCCCTGTCAGTCCGTGCTAATGACTGCGCTGAATTATTTTTAAAACCGAAGTTAAATCCGTCGGCAAGTCACTCCGCCGCCGACTTTCGCCCACTTTCGTCAGGTGCACCGAAATATTCATATTGGTCATATGCGGGCAGCGCTGAAGAATTATTCACGAATGAATCTTCGATCCCAAAACAACTCCACGTTGTTGTGACACGTGCCAGCTGAGGTGCTCGATTACTCGACATTTTTCTCTTTCGTTGCGCCACTCCTACATTAAGCGCCACCGAGTAGATAGATCTCTGAATGAGTCGGCAGCTCGTTTCATCGATGGTCGATTCTGTGAGCAGCACCCTACTCGACCCTGTACGTCTGTCTTTTGCTTTCGCCCTCTCTCTTTCTCTTTTCAAGTACACTATACTAAATCGGTACGCAAACTGCTTACGACGCAGTTGCATGTGCGAGAGATCTGGACGAACAATCCCCTTTGGTACGCGTGGGTCGCCCGATCTAATTCCGGCTGCCGAATGCATGCTAACGCGTCGCAAAATGCAAAATAGATCTAAAACCGTGCTAGTGGCGTTAACCAAGCGTCTCCACGTGAGCCAAAAACAATTAAATCTGGAGTACCGTGACCCTTCCCCGTCGTCATGCTTCCATCGCGCGAATTTCAGGATGGCACCTTCCCACGATTTTATCATAAATTGAAAGTCGTTCCTGTATTCGTCAAATGAAGAATTCATTGTGACTAGTTTTCATAGAAATTGATGGACAAAGTAATTTGATACATTAAAATAATTCAGGTGATCCAAATTTTGTGAAACACATCCAATATTTTAGTGAAAAAGGAAAAAATAATTCAAAAAGTACTGGAGAACATCGTCCATGTCCTTGATGGCGCACCTTGAGACTCAAAGCATAGGAAAGTCGACCAAAGAGCGACACCCTCTCCTTGGCGTCTTTACCACCACCGCTGCCGTCGTCGTCGTCGGCCGAACAGAAGTCGATTTGGCAACTGCCGTTGGACAACGTGGGCGTCTAATGTCGCTTGGTGATTTCCCCTGGCGATGATGAAGACGACAAGAACGACGACGATGACGAGCGTGCTCGTTGTCGTTCCTGGTGGGGATTCTGGCGGCAGTGCGCTTGCGTTGCTCGTCATTTTGACGAAGCCATGAAGCGGCCGGCGCGCCATACGAACGACGACGGGTCGCGCACTACGAGTAGGGCGCTGGTCGGCTCCGAAACCCCGAAGAAGAAGAAGAGAAAGATCGCGGGAAGAAGGTGGCAGTGGGCTCAACCGACGACCGAGGCCGCAGCGACTTGTGACTTGACTTAGCGAACAGGAGGATCCCTGCGAGCGGAGGGCGCCCGAACAGTGAGGATACGCGAGGAAGAACTCGAGTCCCGCAGAGCACGAGAAGAACCGGACGACCTCGTCGAAACCGGAGACAGAGAGAAAGAAGATGTCGTCTTCAGCGATTGCTAAGAGCTCCAAGTACACATACCGCTCAACGGGCGGTGCGGGCACTACCGATGTTAACATCGAATATAGCGCCGACCTGAGCGCTCTCAGCAGACTCGAGGTAGGTTTTCCTGCTCGCAAAAGACGTCCTGCGAAAAATCGACGGGAGAGAACGACCGCGATGATCGAGGGTCGAGTAGGGGCTGTCTTTCTCGAGAATCGATCGCCACACTCTCAACGAACTCGCTTCTCTAATTATATTCTCTAATTATTCTTCAAATAACTTGGACATAATTATTTATAGATCTGACGCGCGCGCGCCTCTGGTTACTTAAAGTCGAGAAAGTAGAGATGTCGTTCGTGAGAAATCTCTCAATTTTCTCTAAGGGATCCGAATCTCGAGAAATTCAAGCATCATAACGTATAATTAATAAGATAGGCAAACTTCGGCGCAAATACATTTTCATGAGGCTACGAGAACTTTTGTCGCACTTTAGTATAGTGGACTTCGCAATTCTCGGGGCTCGGTGCTTCGTGTCGTCCACGTCGGAAATTGATCCAAACACTTTTCCGAAAGGTGCGAACAGCCGCACCGAGGTAAGATAGAATAGAGTATCCAACGTATCAACGAGATTGCCGAGGCATCGGTATCGAATCGAGGATCGCAGGAGACTACGGGGACGACGTCACGGGACGAACAGGAGAGAATACTCCGATGGAGGTTTTCCAATAGCTTCTCGAAGAAACGCGTCGGTACCATCGAAAGACCACTAGATTTCGACGAGGAAACCCGACCCGCGACCCGCAACAACGACAGTCTCCTCGTGTATCATCGAGACGGGACGCAACGTAATTACAGTGACACGCGACGGATTCGCACGTGAACAATGCGGAGCAGTGACCAATTGCGGAGGTAGTGAACCGCGAAAGTTCAGTGACCATAAGAGATGTTAGTGCCAACCCGACGAGGAACCAAAGTGTACGATCGTTCTGTAGCTATCGGATTGCTCGTGTACGAAAATAGTCGGTGGAATATCGGACCGAAACGACGATCGTGCCAAGGCGACAGCAGCATCGTATCGATGCCTTCTCCGAGGTATCATCCGAGGACGATTGACCACGCGCTGTTAATGGCCGCGAGGAACCCGACGGATATTACGAGGAGGATCTATCGAGAAGGACGTCAAAGGGCGCGGATTCCCGTTCGTCGCTCACAGGACGTATTTCGTATCTCGAGAAAAGTATGAAGGAGCATACACGGTCGCCTGTTGCATGCAAGTAAGATCATTTCTTCATCCCCCGCCGATACAGAGGCTGACCGTGTTCTCTGGTTTTGGCGTAGCGATCTAACGTGAACGCGCGACTTCCCTGAGACAAGTCCGCGTCGACGACGCGCTCTTCTAGGTCGAAGTGAAGGCGCGCTAAAGCCGACGTCGCGACATCGTTCTCTCCTTCTCCCCGAGGACGCACCTATTCGCAGGCATTCGGAGGCCGTGCGTCTTTTCGAAATACCGAGCCTCCGCTCTTGGGTATTTCTGTCGAGCGATTACGTAAAGCGTCGACCCTCTATAACGGACGCCGTGATACCCTTTAATCCTCATTGCCTCTCTTTTCAGGACAAAATCCGCCTACTGCAGGATGACCTGGAGTCTGAGAGGGAGCTGCGTCAGAGGGTGAGTTTCGAGAGAAAGAGTAGAGTAGAGAAAGAGAGAGAAAGAGAGAGAGAGAGTGTGTGTGTATGCGTGTATGTCTTCATTTGCTCCTTGGTTGCCATTCGGACGAGTCCTGAAGTTTCTTGCAAATTAACTCTCCTGGCGGACGAATCATCAACGTCCGCTGTAACGACGTCCGTTGTGGTTGACGACTTAACGAAGTCTCCATACTACGGACAGTGAACAGGATCATGAGTAGAAAATTGAAATTAATTGGTAACTAATTACTACTAATTGCTAATTACTGGATTAAATCGATAACTGTCCTAGGCACCTAACGTGTTAACTAATTATCTCGTCATGGCAACGTCCAAGTGCGGCGTCAGTCGCTAGGAGATACTTTCGTCCGGCACGTTTGTTTCACTGGCAGTTGCTCGTCTGATTACATCACGCGTATTCTGTAACAAGCGTGATCAAGGGGACAGGGACGAAAGGCGACTCGCTTGACGACTCAACGAAAGAGCGACTCTCTTTGAGCGAGGAAGTCGACGAGACTTTGCATTCCCGCGAGAGCGAGAATCTTTCTATTTTTCGAGCTTATTCGCGACTCCCGAGAGAACCACGAGGCGTCTCGCGAAACTCATCCGAGTGGTCGAAGAGCGTTAAGACCGAATTAAAGTTCTTCGTCGGCGAAGTGTCAGTTATCAGATATCGCCGCTTGAGAGATGGACATGAAAAGGAACCAAGGATGCTCCGCTCCACTGGCAGAGTGGGGAGCAGTAGGTCGAAATGTCCAGCTCTTGAGCCGCGTCTATTTTTGGGGGCGCGAGTCTCTCTTCGGGAACGTTCCCACATTCCTGCGCTGTATTCAACACGTGCCCGCTCTTATAAACGAGAAAAACATTAATTCGCGCGAACCTCGCGAGATTTAAATAGTTCATAAACGTATTCGTCGCGAGCACTAAGCAGTCTTTAATATATCACGCTCTAGAAAACACGCGTGAAAGAGAGAGAGAGAGAGAGAGAGAGAGAGAGAGAAAGAGAGAGAGAGAGAGAGAGAGAGAGAGTCAATATGCAGAATTTAAAAATAATTTCTTCCATCCGCGCGCACGGACGAGCACAGCTTCCATTTTTCGCGCTCTAAATTGCCGGACGGGATTTTTCAATTCGTGTAAAACACTGTTTTTTAATCAGAGAATGGGTTCTCGCGCAATTTCACCGAAATTCCGCGCACATCCAGCGGGATTACGACTGCGTTAAGAAGTGGAATTCCAGCGTGATAATATTTACACAGTTGCGCGCGTATATTAGGGGAGAATCGTCGCGTTCCGACAGACGGAGAATTTGCAAGAACTTCTCGGGTTTCATTGTGCGTTAAGTTTCCGCCGAAATCAAACGTGTGTAACACAGCCGCTGTAATACGTGACTTGAACGATTGCCAAAAATCTTCCTCGAGCTTCGAGGCTGTAAAGCTTGGAAAGTGAAACGGCAGTTAACACGACGCGTACACTTTCGGAACATGATAGATATTTCATGCGTGCGACATGAAAACGCAACATTTGCGAGCCACAAATGCCCGCGATTGAAACTTAATTCGCCTACGATTACTGGCAGTAACTTTTTTGTGTTTCCTTAAGCAGGAGCACGTTTTCTCGTTTCTCTTCTGTGTACATACTTGGACCGAAGCGACAGGCAAGAAAACACGAGAAAATCGGATTGTTTGACACGACGACCGCGAAGGCGACGCTGCGATTCTCTCTTTTCGTGATAAACGCTTCGTTTGTAATACGAATAAAGCTCCCGATATAGACGCGGCGCGTCCAAAATTAGATCGTCCTATTCGCGGTGTAAAGAAATCTGACGTCGAGCTCACCGACACCGGCATCGGTGGCGGAGCATGTTTGTTCTTGCTCGATTCCTCCTATAGAGACAGCAAGATATGATTAATTTTACCATGAAATGTATGGATTTATTCAGTGAATCTAATTTTATCGAGTGAATCCTTCCTTATATCGCCTCCCTAATGTTGCAGATCGAACGCGAACGCGCCGACTTGAGCGTGCAAGTCATCCAGCTGTCTGAACGTCTCGAAGAGGCCGAAGGCGGCGCCGAATCTCAAGTGAGTACATTCCACGGAGACGAAATTCTTCACGAAATCACGCACTAATTGCACGGACCTAACGACTGTCTCGCGCAGTTCGAGATCAACAAGAAGAGGGACATGGAACTGGCCAAGCTGCGCAAACTACTCGAAGATGTCCATCTCGAGAGCGAGGAGACCGCACATCTCCTGCGTAAGAAGCACCAAGAGGTTGTCGTTGACTTCCAGGATCAGATCGACCAGCTTTCGAAAGCACGCGCCAGGTTAGTAGCCGTGTTTCCAGTCAACAAAATTCTCTGCTGAATCGCACGACGCGATGAACGACAAGAGGGAGAAACGCTCATCTCTCGAGAAGTTCTCACAAAGCTCGATTGAGTACTCCCCGCCTCGAATTTAATATTCCCACTGTCAAACCGAAACGAGCAGCAAAGACCAGAGCTTTGTAAATTTTGGAAAGTCCACGGCCACGTGCGTCGATTCGCTATCGGCAAAGTCATGTAAACGCCTGTTAATCTCCTCTTTGAGGCGAGAATGTGCAAGCGCGCTTGCCAGGGAGCGTCAATAAACAGCTGGGTGCTGGCCGGAAGCTGCTCGGCGGTAGCAAATAGCAATTCCACGAGGAAACGTCGCGTGAGCGACGTCCCGGCGAAAGGGAAGATGCGATAGGGAGGAAGCGTAATGAATCACGGTGTTACGCGGATAATTATAGCACGCGTGTTCTCTCTCTCTCTCTCTCTCTCTCTCTTTCTTATAAACGAGAGTGACTGTACGTAAGAAAATTTGTGCGAATTATACTGGTCGCGCTGGCCGCTGTCCAAGCCAAGGAGCGACTCGCACCTGAAATACACGAAGTTTCGGTACCTCGGCACTTCTAAACATAGTTTCGCCCCTTCGGCACGTCGAGGTCCCGTCGCTCCGACAAGGACGTCGACTATCGTCCTGAAAACTTGCGTCACCATTGATTATACGCTAATTGTCCACTGCAAACACTGCTTTCAGCAATTGCTTCCTTTCCGATTAAAAAAGGAACGATCGAGAGGGGAGAGGTATTCATTCTCCAAACAAACGCCCGCACTGTCCGAAAGCCGCAGCTTCGTCCTACATACTGCAGCAAATAAACACTCGAAATGATATCCCCAAGTGAGATTCAACGATTTTGAAAGTATTCGTTAACAAAGTATCGTCTCTCTTTCAAAGAGCAATTTTCAATTTGGATAAATTGAATAGCAAATTATTTACAATAACGTCAAATCTCCAAACAACTTGATCTTTTTCATGATTAAAATTTTGCTGTTAGATTGAAATGAAATTCTAGTAGGCGCTTGGGACCCGATTGATCCGAAATCTCGCGTCGTTAAAAGACCTCAGACATTCATATCGCGCTTGAAATGCAGATATTATTTCGCACAATTTTCCGAAAGTAATCCCGAGGCGGTTGCCAGAAATGAGAACTAATCAAGGCAGCTGTTACTTAGTTTCGGCAATTCGACCGCGCGAGTGGCGTTAAATATAATCATTCGTAACAAATGCGCCGCATGATTTCACCGCCGATTATAAAACGCGATCGTCATTCACGCGATCCCAGGCAACATTCTCGAACATCGCGGGTAACGTAGAGACCAATTTTCAAGAGCCCATCTCTTTCTCCTCAGTCCCGCGGCAATTTAGCGTCATATCTTTCCATGATTCTGACCCATCGTTATCATTCGTTATCGCCAATTTAAAGGAAAATTTGACGATTGTTTCCTCCGTAAACCTCTCGGCGCTCATGTCCTACATGCGAAATTAACGTTTCAGTCATCGCGTCGAGAGCGCGCGACGTCACTCGGGAGAAAAGAAAAAGGAAGATCTCCACCTGTTTGCAGAGCAGGAAGTGAGGAGGGTACGTTACGGGCAACTCGCTGTAACCACACCGTCGCATGGTCTTTCTTCTCTTTCTCGGTGCGAACACGCGCGGTCTTCCTCTATCGCGCCGCATCGCCTCTCTTTCTCCCTCTTTCTTCCTTTTGCACGCACGGTTACTCGGCTTATGACTATTTTTAACCGTGCGAGTCGCGCGGCAATCCACAACCCCGCGTTGGCGCGCCATATTAGTACACGCTACCGGCCCGAATCCCCACTATCTCCGGAATCAACTGGCCGACACCTTACACCCTCTTTATCGCGCGTGTAGGTGTGTGTGTCCGATATCGTTCGCATTATTTTATTTTTTTGCGCGATCTCCGGGAAAAAATGGAGCACTTCGCTGCGGTCTCCTATCGACGTGGACGCGGTGTTGCGACCGCGTGGAAAGCTCGCACGAAAACACTTCGCTGTAATCAAGCTTGGCCACTCGTTCCTTTCGGAATCCTTCCTCTCGAACATTGTTCCAAACGTTAATCACGTCTGCTTGCTTTCTCTAAATTAAGAAAGCGCATCGCACGCCACTGTTTCTGTATTTTTGACCAGACACGGTAACCCACTTAGCTGGTCTGACTAAAAGGGTAGAAGCGGCCGTATCGAGTTACGAGATCGTCGATGCACCGGAATGTTGGCTGAAGCACACCGAAGTCTTCAGATTCTTCGATTATTTCTCTAATAATTAAAATGTTTCATACACAGCGATTATTTACGAATTAAAAGTGGCTCTTATACAGGTAGAATCAGTTCTTCGCCACGTTTGTTATGTTGAATATCAGTCAAAAAGTTCTGTCACGTTATTTCAGGGCTGACAAGGAAAAGTCCAAATTCCAGCAGGAAGTGTATGAACTCCTCGCTCAACTCGACAATGTCAGTAAGGAGAAGTTGATGTCGATAAAGACGGTAGAGAAACTAGAGATCCATGTATCCGAGCTGAACGTCAAGATCGAAGAGCTTAATCGCACGATTGTCGACATCACCAGCCATAAAACTCGGCTGTCTCAAGAGAATATCGAGTTGGTCAAGGAAGTGCAAGATCTCAAGGTAGAGTAATTTGTATTTCGTCGTCAAAACGCCTCGATTACTGTCTAATTCGTTGCGAAACCGTTAATTATTCAATTAAACTTTTAGGTGAACATTGAGAACATCACCTACCTGAAAACGCAAATCGTGGGTCAACTCGAAGATGCCCGCCGTCGTCTCGAAGACGAGGAACGTCGTCGGTCGTTGATCGAAGCTTCGTTGCATCAGGTATAATTTGCTGTACTTCAAATAAATTTCGTTAATTTCCTTCGATAACTTTCGTGAGATACTCAACAGTCTATCAAATACAGTCTTTTTTGACATTTCAAATAACAATCGCAATTATTATTTATACTGCTGCAAGAAAGTCATTAACGTTACCTCGTTTTGACAGGTCGAAGTGGAGTTGGAGTCTGTCCGCGTTCAGCTGGAAGAAGAATCTGAAGCGCGCTTGGATATCGAACGTCAATTGGTCAAAGCCAATGGAGAAGTCTCAGTATGGAGGTCGAAATACGAGACCGAGGCCAACGCTCGCGCCGAAGAGGTAATTCATATGTTTCTCACGAAAATATAATTACCTAGGTTATAGAGAATATAATTATTCTGTCGACTCAATCAATAAAAAGAAAGAAAAATTTGGAAATGTATTGACCTTTGATTTAATTTTATACAGGTAGAAGAACTTCGTCGCAAATACTCTGCTCGCATCCAAGAACAGGAAGAACAAATCGAGACTTTGCTCGTGAAGATCAACAACCTCGAGAAACAGAAGTCACGCCTACAATCCGAAGTGGAGGTTCTGATCATCGACTTGGAGAAGGTGGGATTTCATTTTTTTTCGTGTCTCTAATATTTATATTCGCATTTTCATTCATTTATTTGTTTTTTTTTTTTTTTTTTTGGAAAGAGGTATTTTAGATATTTAAACATTGCTTCAACTCTTCTTTCTTTCAAGGCCAATGCAACTGCACGCGAGCTACAGAAACGCGTGGAGCACCTCGAGAAGATCAATATAGAATTGAAGGCCCGCTTGGATGAGACTATGGCCATGTACGAGCAAAGCCAGCGCGACCTCCGCAATAAGCAACAAGAACTGCAACGCACGAACGCCGAACTCGACAAGACTCGCGAAATGAAAGATCAATTGGCACGTGAGAACAAGAAACTCGGAGGTGATTGTCGTCTCGATTTTTCTATGATTTTTTGTAATATATCTCAAAATTATAGATAATTAGTACATATTTTCAATCGTTATTTGCTTGGTAGAAGCAAAATTTCTGTTTATTCAATAATAATTAGGAAATTTAAATCTTCAAAAAATTTCTTTGGTTTTTGTAATGTGAATATGCTTTTGCAGATGATCTCAGCGATGCGAAGAATCAGTTAGCCGACATGAACCGCAGACTCCATGAATTGGAGCTGGAACTTCGCCGGTTAGAGAACGAACGTGAAGAATTGGCCGCCGCCTACAAGGAAGCTGAAGCAGTGAGTATAATTTTAATTGTTTAAAAAAAGATATAAAAATATTGTTCCAAGAATAATTCGTTCTAGTGAAAATATGATACTCAAGATGGAAAATTTTGATGTAGGGACGCAAGATCGAGGAGCAACGTTCTCAGAGATTGTCAGCCGAATTGAGTCAACTACGTCACGAGTACGAACGCCGCATTGCTGAGAAGGACGAAGAAATCGAAGCTATTCGGTGAGTCCTCAAAAATTACGTCCAATCGCTTCCTTTGATAGATGTATTAGTATATTTATCTCAATTTAACTAACATTTCTGTCGATAATTCGGTGACTTTACGTAGATATATTAGAATCCTAATGAGTTCCTTTCTACTTTCTACTTTAACACATTCCCGAATTTCTTTTAGCAGAAATTACTAATTTTTAGGGGAACAGTTTTTTATTTTCTAAAACAAGATTTATGCTTTTGTATATTGTCCTACTTGGGATTTAAAACCCGACCCTATTATCTTGATATGGAAAATATGTTTTTCTTTAAATTTATTTTCTATTCACATCGCAATATGCAACTGATAATGCAAATTGTACGAAGAAAGTGTTGTCGCAAGGTAAGACGCAAATGTCAACCAAAGTATTTCGGACTGTGATGTAATTGACTTATTTCTGATCGGCCGTCGTGCGTCGAGTGATGCTATTTTAAGCGCACACAGTAAAACGCAGTTAAATTTATCGTCAATCGATTTGAGCGATTAATCATCGTGGATGATTTCCCCGGATGCTCTCTAATTATCTAGCTATTGCTCTTGAAATCAAAGCGTGTGACTCCACCTGATCATGCGTTTGTCCTTCGGTTTTGACATTTACTAGAGTGACGCTTCACGAAAATTTTGCGAAAGTGAATGATTCGCTAGAAGCATTTTACTTACGGGAAGTTATGCAAGTTACGGTGCATCGATCAGCAATCTGAATTGCCGAGAAGCAACACAATATTAACGAGAACACCGACTCAAGAAACTCATACGACGTGACGAGCCGCTATTAATAAGCGCGGTAAGTCCAATCAGTCATGATCTAATTATTATTGAGAGATGCTGATTGGTCGTCCCCGATGTGGCAATCGCAACGAAAAGTACAAAAGATACCACCTAAGCATCGGCCCAATTTTTGCCGATGATCCTATCGCAAGAGTGACACCAGCATTCGTAAGTTCGTCTGAAAAAATCACAAATATTGTCTCGTAAAATTCGACGTTCACTTCATCTTTGACCTGGAACCAGAAACTCGTTAATTGCAGACTCACTTAATTCCACGAGAAAGCGAATTGGAAGGGATTTGTCGCTTTTTCACTAAATCGTCGCTTTTTTCGTTTCACAAATCTTCAAGTTTTTCCTATTCGATTTTAAAAATAAATCAAGCACCTGCACAATCGCATCCGAAGCTCGTATCCGAAATGGCGGGTTACATGCCACCAATTCATATGCCGCTGGAACCCAAATGGCGACATTATCCGACGTACATCTACGACAGAAATTACAGTTATGGCATGAATTACTATCAGCCAATGATTGATTACATGGACGCCAAGCGACTTCAACCAAGATCGAGCTTTCCAGAGCTCCAGAGAAAACGAATGGAACTACCCGAGTTGCCTTGGTCCGACAGTCGAGCCTTGTGGCAGGACAAAAAGGTGGAGCCCTACATGAGGGATGATCTCATCAGACATGCGATCGACGCCGAGGACGAGGCCAGGGATCATCTGTCGCTGTTCAAGGTACGCAACGCGAAGTAGCGCAAAGAAGAACAGGCAGAGGATGTTGACAGGGATCTCTGTAAAAGGATTCCCCGGGAAATATTGAAGACGATCTCCGTTTTCCCGAGTGCGGCGCGAGTCTCCGTCGCGCGACTACTTGACCTTTTCGGTTTCTAAATTTGGTGCCGCGGAACAGGCTGCCTCTCTCGTTTCGAGTGGCGATCAAAGATGCGCGCGGATGCCGTGCGTAATTCGTGTCATACTGCTGACGTCGCATACTCGCTCTCTCGTTTTGCAACTTTGTTCGCCGAACGTCCATCTTATTAGGCGACTGTTGGTATTTCTGTAATTGATCCGACGTTTTAAAATTCTTTGATAAATCTTAGCATACTACTACGTTGAGTCATTCGCGATTTGGCTTGGTAATTAATCGGCAATTATAATTGCCACTTTCGAGAAACGATCGATTGTAATTTTATAAAGCTAGTGACGTATAATGAAGTTCTTTAAGAGGTCTACTAAAACGCGACTACAAAGTATAATTATTGCACAGCGCGAGACGCTTCGCCAAGCGCGACATGATTCAGAAAGGCAATGCCGATATGTTCGCCCCGCGCCAGAGAAACTTTTCCCAAACGGGGATCATCGTTAGCCAGGAAAGCTCTTATTCGCAGCGACAGCCCGGAGAGTTTACCGGGTCGAACAATAAAAATATCGCGGATAATCCGACGAATGCCTCTTGGCACTCTATTATTTGGACCATTCCTCACAGTTCCCAATCGCGTCGGGGCATAGTCTGCCAAGTCGCTCAGTGAAAAATTCATCTCATGTCTCCCGGACGAAAGGGACACTAAGGTGTTCGGTGCATTGGCAGTCGCGCTCGAGTCTTTAGAGAGTCGGTCGAGCACGAGTGCCGGCGATCGCTTTTGCATTCTGGACCGCAGCGGCTAAGTTTAGGCGATCGCGTAAGAAGTCGCGCTTAAGTGTTCGCGCTCGCACGACGGAAAACGGTGGCCGTAGAAGCACTGCGCGAGCGCTCCACCACGCAAAACTGACGTTCACTGTGTCTGTCTGTCTGTCTGTCTGTCTGCCCGACGTGTTCGAAGATAGCGAATCGCTCGGACTTTAGTTTGGCCAAGACCATACACGCCAGTCGCGTAACAAAGGAAATCTTACCGCGTACGGGAGGGGACCTGAGGAGGCTGCCAATGCCATTGATGTTCGCCAGCGCCCGCTCCAGTAGCGAGGCCAAGGAGATCCAGCAAGAGGCGATACACGACATTAAGTTGCAAGCGCTGAAAGATGTTCAAATGGCCAGCGTGCACGATGCACTGGAGCATGGTAAAAATCTACGCGGCAAGTCCGCGAGAGCGATCGAATTCCAACTGAGGGCGGAGGCCCTGAAGAATTTATCCAAGAGCGAAGAACTGGCCGACGTTCGGCGATTGCAGAGGGAGACCGTGTACTGCTTCTGGGACAACCGGGCTCACGAGAAGCTAATGGAGGAAAGAAGCAGGGCCTTGATCGACGAGGACAAGCTGGCGCAGCCGCTCAACTCGCTCAGCCGGGAACTGCGCGGATATGAGCAGAAGTCCAGCGATTATTTTTTGGACAAGAGGTACCGAGATCGCGCGAGGCAGGGGCTTTTGAACGGCTGTCGAGGATGCGAGTATTATAATGTTAATAAGCGCGGTAAATAGGTAAGAGTTGTCCCAAGAGAATTGTCAATGCGAGAGAGTAAACTAATGTGTCGTTGCTTAGGAGAGTAGGAGAATGCGTATATAATCGAAATAAACGATTGTCGGCATTTGAGTTTGTGTTTGGCGAAAGTGCATCACTTTCGTGGTTCCTCTTATCGACAAATCCTTATCCTCACAAAATTATGTATTTAATTTACAAGATGTTGCTTTATTCTTGATAGCCGCATTTAGTGATCGAATAAATGAAACAGGTAATCGAGATTTAATTCCCAGGATGGACGAGCTAAATTGATAGAAAATTAAGGCGACAAGTAGGAGAAAATTTGAGAAAATCTTCTTAGATAAACGGCGAGAGAAACAGCCGAGAAAATTCCTAACATTATCCACGATTGCATTTTCACAAGAGAACGTAATAGTGTTCGAGATGTACTGACGTCGAATAAAATTAATCAGCAAACAGACCAGCATCGAGATCGAGCAGCTGAACGCTCGTGTGGTGGAGGCCGAGACGAAGCTGAAGACCGAGGTACAGCGTATAAAGAAGAAGCTGCAGATCCAAATCACCGAACTCGAACTGTCCTTGGACGTTGCCAACAAAAACAACATCGATCTGCAGAAGACCATTAAGAAGCAATCGCTCACTCTGACTGTAAGAAGAACCACCCGTGACATCTGTCATAGCGTGCGCGACGTTGCTACAGATACGATCGTTTTGCTTTTCAGGAACTGCAAGCCCACTACGACGAAGTGCAACGTCAATTGCAGGTAACCCTAGACCAACTGGGCATCAGTCAACGTCGTCTCCAATCGTTGACATCCGAGCTCGAGGAAATCCGCGGCAATTACGAATCCGTAAGTATGACTGTTTTACTGAACAAAATTCACTCGAAAATATGATTAATTAATGCATCATCAGTACATGAAACATTAATTGTGTATGGTTAAAAATATTTAGTTTATCCTTTGGATAAGCGAAGGTATAACGATAATATACGAATATCGCACGTATGAGTTACGTAAAGACGGCCGCGTAAAGCGCAAAATCGCTCTTGTGTTGAAAGGCTCTGCGCGCGAAGAGGATCGTCGAGCAACAATACGAGGAGTCGGTTAGTCGCATCAATGAGCTGACCACCATCAACGTGAACATCGCTTCATCGAGAGCTAAAATCGAGCAGGAACTGGCAACCCTGGCTGGAGATTACGAAGAGGTCACCAAAGAGCTGAGAGTCAGCGACGAGAGATATCAGCGAGTGCAAACCGAGCTCAAGCACACCGTCGAGATCCTCCACGAGGAACAGGAACGTATCGTCAAGATCGAAGCTATCAAGAAGTCGCTAGAGATTGAAGTAAAGAACTTGTCCGTGAGACTGGAGGAGGTCGAGGCCAATGCTATCGTAGGCGGCAAACGCATCATCAGCAAGCTCGAGGCCAGGGTAAGAGGAAAACGTTATTTTGATATCAATTGCGATTCCAAAGGTAATTTCAGTTTCAGATATATCTTTTGAGTTGAGTAAAAACTGTTATATACTCGACTCGGTTTCATTGATGGAAATAACGATATTAGTTTGCTTGTTGCAAAATTTTCTCGGTACATGAATCACATTCAGGGGGTGCGTTAATCTTTAAAAAATTCGTTCGCTTGCAATTCTCTTTGCAGATTCGCGACCTGGAGCTTGAGCTGGACGAAGAGAAGCGCCGACATGCCGAGACCGTGAAGATCCTGCGCAAGAAGGAACGCAACATCAAGGAGGTGATGATCCAAGTGGAGGAGGACTCAAAGAACATCACCCTGCTGCAGGAGGCGCTTGACAAGGCCTCCCAGAAGGTCTCCATCTACAAGAGACAATTGCAGGAACAAGAGGGCATGTCTCAGCAGAGCGTCACCAGAGTCCGCCGATTCCAAAGGGAGCTCGAGGCTGCGGAGGATCGCGCCGACACGGCTGAGAGCAACCTGACCCTGATCCGCGCCAAACACCGCAGCTTCGTCACCACCTCGACCGTGCCCGGTTCCCAGGTGTACCTCGTCCAGGAGACGAGGCAGGACCTGTAAAAACACCACCGCCGTCACCGCCACAACACCTTACCCTTTGCCACCACGCGAACGCCGCGTCGCCGTCTTCGCAAACGTGATACGAGGACCATGCGTACAAAATATGTGACTTTAAGATAATTCAAAATTCCCCGTATCGGTAGTTGATACTATCGCAAAGCAGGATTTCTCCTGAGACGGCTGCACGAAATTGACAAACGAGAAAAGAGAACAGGATAATAACATTTTTTTTTCATTTTTAAGAAAGGAAACGTAAAAGTTTAATTCGGGCCTAAATTTTTGGCGTCACATCACGATTGAAAATAAAGAAAGACGCGACTTATGAATTATCATAAAGAGCCGAGGTAGACAGGGAGAGTTTCCAACGGGCCACATGGCGTATCATTCTTGAGGGGTTCAATCGGAGCAACCAGAATACGAACATATTAAACCAATTAAACGATGTGCAGCGTCAGCTGTCACCTAACGACCCGTCGTAAATTCGAAATCACTTGGCCAACGAGACGCGATACGTCGCAACGAGAACATTTCAAAGGAAAGGGAAATCAACGCTCATTATTTTTGAGAGATTAGCGCGTGGAACATCGGAAAACGCCGAGATTGAGAATCGATCAAACATCGCGCCCTACGAGTAAGCAGCAAATCAGATCCTCTCGTCCCAATTATGTGACTGTAATCGAGCGTGAGGGCAGAAAAAACGCGCAGAGTGAGGAACGCGAGAAATCGGGCAATGGCATCTCAGCGCCTAGCTATATTCGCGCGTGTCGCAATTGTATTTAAATGGATAACTTTAATTCTATTCTATTACTATATAGATAGGTAACTATTGCCCATATACACAACTCTCACTGTACGACATACACAATAACCTGTGTCAACATTAATTTAATAAATAAACTGAAACGCGTACGTACGAAGGGGGCTGTGTTTCATTTCCCGCGTTGCTTTCCCGAACAACACACGTGTACACTGAAAAGAAAGATGTCCGAAAGGAGATCTTGATTGACACTCGTCGATCAAGATTGACTTTGCGTGTCGATTTCATCATATTTTGATGTTTTATATAATACGCATTCTTCTATTTATTAATTTTTCGTGCTTGTTGTGTCTCTTAATCGTCCCAATTTAATGAACACGTGAAATTCGCGAGTAGGAGGAGCAAACAAACAAGGAATTACATTAAAGTAAATTTAATTTATTCGAGCTAATTATTCTCCGGACCGCTATGGCGTTTATTAGTAGGGTCCGCTTAGAAGCCAGATCGATGAGACCCAAAGACACACACGGGACTCCCGCTTTTGTGGTCGTGCGGATTCGTCGAGTCGATTTCGTCACAAATTCTTCTCTCACCAAACTTATTACAAAGAGGAGAGCTACATGATAATAGAGTGTCCGTCGTGTGATGTCCCGCACGTGTGCGTTGGGCTCCAACAACCTCGCGCATTCCCAATTACAAATCAGAAGTTAATAATAATTAATAACATTAGGTACGTATATCTATTAACAGTATTAAGATCCATCCACACCGCCAGGCACGCTTTATACAGCGGCAGTAATTAATGGTCGATTAAACAAGTCATCGATTTACGTTTCTTATAAATCGTAGAAAACTCGACTCTCTGATGAAGAAAATGAGCGAAATCGCGAAGGATCGCTTACCGATCCGATCGCCGACGGAGAAACGAAAAGGATCGAAAGAAAATGGTGAAACGGTGAAGCCGATTTTGGTTTTCAAGTCACGAGACACGCGAGATACGATGTTGCGATAATTATTTATAGAGAAAACGGTAACTCATGGATTCGGTCGGCGTTCCCGCGTGTTCGTGGCTTCTATCGAATACGTTACAGATTGTTTTGTTTTGAAGAAAAAACATTCAGTCTTTGAAGTGTGTGTGTGTATTTTTGTGTGCACCGAATCAAGAAGCTTCCTCAACGAAATAAGTTCGTAGAAAAAGTTGTTGCTCTGCCTTCCCGTCCTTCGTCGCAATCATATAATTTTGCGATTCGCGAGTTTTATTTTTAGCAATTATTAATAGCACGATTATTCCGCTGCGCTGTCCGCGAGTTACGGACAACTCGACTCGACGAGATACAGATTTCACCGCGCCATATCGCGCGATCTCGATCCGTATCTAACGCACTGAAACTCCTTGACTTAGTATCCCCTTTATTTTTATTACAATATGAGCGGACAACAAGTTCGCAAATTTCTCTTTCGCCTCGAGATAAATCTTTAACAGCAACAACCTTCCGTGTACAGAACTACACTTATCACGATACATTTGCAGATGGAAAAATAGTAGAGACGCGACATGCCCGTGTTACGAGTAATCAAAGGAAATACGGTACCATTCACCAACTCACCCGTCCGTCGTTTTACGAAAATTACAAGTGCTCGTTCTATCCATATGTAAGTCGTCGATGAACATTTACACCATTATGTACAGAGTATTATACAATGAAAACGGGAAACAGATAATAGAAATAATGGGACACGGCGATAGTGTGTCGATAAACTTATCTTAGCGTCGCTAGCGGATACTCCCTAAAATAATAACGCACTTAAACGGAAACGAATCTCGCGAGTCTACAAGCAACCTAAATTTTTTTAGACTTACTCGTCCATCGTTTGTTATAAATTTTACTCTCGCGCCGCGAGCAACGAAATAAACAAAATCACAAACCTTGGTTAATTTAGACATCTACGTCGTACACAAGAAAGACACACGCGATCAAACCATCGCGATGAATTCATCGTGTACGTATTATCATGAACTTTAAACAACATAACCGTAAACAAATAATCGAAGTTTCCGCATATCTGTCCAACACAGTTGGAGAGACTCGCGTTTCGAATGCAAAACAATGCCACAGGGGGAAAACGCGTAACACAAGTGACGGAACGAGGGGGAAATCGGCTATAAACAAAATATCGCGATGATTATCAATAAAGATATTTGTTTAGTGATAAAAGGGAGGAAAATAAATAGAATAAAAGCTCTTTGTTCGGAGGTCTTATAGTCAAGATATACGCGATACCTCCTCTGAACCATCCAAACGAGTGGAAACGATTTTTGGTCTATGAATCCTCAGCAATCGCTAATTAACTTATTCGTACAATATAATACGCAATATTCTCCGTTGGAAAGTCGCACTGTTCCGATTCCGAATTGTTGCTGGAAATAATCACTCTGTCGTTACAGGATTCTAACAATCTGTCGTTAGAAAACTAATATCGTACAATTTCTTTTTTTCGTATCAAAACCTACCTATTCATCTTGGGACAAGAAGAAATGAAGGAGAATTCTTCATCTATATGACAAAATTATTCACAGGCTATTCTTCTCGACACGAAATATGGGAACGATGCGACTCTCACCTGCGAGAACACATTCTTCCATTTCATCGGTAATCGTTAAACACTGGTATCACCTAAAGCACAAAACGAAGTAGACGGTATATCGCCTTAAAGGTACAAGTTTCTTCCCACTAACGGAATCGCGATGCGGTCGTAAGCGCCGCGTGTGCACAAGTTTTTTTTTCTCTCTCTTTCTCTCTTTCTCTGTCTTCCTTCTAATTTATTGTTACTCTTTTGTACAAGTATGTGTGGGGGAGGGGTGGGGAAGGGGGTTTAAACGGTAAGGAGCGGAAAAGGGTACGGAGGAGGATGAAATATCATTTGGCAGTTCGGCATTCGTCGGATATGAGTCAGACTGTTCGACGGTTCGGCGACCCAGTTGTAAACCGCGATAAAACGCGATTGACGTCAAGACGAGTTCGGGAGCGACGCCGGGGTGTCGCGGCCCGGAAATGTAGCTGGCGCGGTGTGGGTTATTTTTACTATTTTTCCTCGTTCGAGCGTGCACGGGTGCAGTTTGTGGGAACACAGCGTACATTATTATTAATTGTATCTCCTTCTCTTTATCTCTCTTCCTCTCTCTCTCTCTCTTTCTCTCTCGCTTTAATTAATATTCGATCAGGTATTGGCACAGAGAGTTGTACTAGCAGTATGGAAACAGCTGTAAAAGGGAGACACCGGTCGAGCTTGCGGCGTCGCGGATCGACAGGGACAACACGCGCGCTTCTCCAGCACAGTGTAAGTATAAAAAACGTCACCGCGAGGCGATCCCGCCGATGCACACGGACTATCGTTATTTTAATTACGTAATGATAAAATTAACCTACGCGTCATAATAGGAATGTGTACGGGGAGCGAAGAAACAAGGCTCCGCCTTCGGAGCGACGGGGTTCGTTGAGAGCCGTGCTCATTATCTACTAGTTGAACATTAGATTCTCAGTCTTTCGGTGAATTGCAATCCACGACGAGTGCGTGACGTCACTCCGTTACAATCGAATCGTGCGGATTCGTTGCTTCCCGTCTCGTCTTGTTCGTCAGGTGAGAGAAAACGTGGAGACGGGGGAAGAAAAACGTTCCCCCCTCGTTACGTTAATAAGCGATTCTTTTAGAGACATATTTTGTCTGTCGTACCTACACTCTCTATTTCGCGTCAACTGCAATACGGATTTTTCTTCATTTATGCGACTAAATCCGATAGGTACATCATTGAATTTCCATCACAATTTTACTATGATCACTGGGACAGTGATATATCGTGACTTTTGAAGAAACTGCGCCAAAATTTAGAATTTCTTATATCTGGTAGCAATGTGACAAATTCTCCTCACTGGATCATGTTAGTCGCGTAATTCAAGGGTTGCCCGCACTGAAGTCCACGCGGAACTAGGTATGCAAAAAGCCGCGCGTAGGAAAACTTGTACAACTGGGTCGGAACGTTGCGAGCAAGTAGAAAACGGAAGAGGAAAATTAGCGTGACGTCCGCGCGACGTCATCGGTAAAAAACAATACAAAAATACGATTATGTGTTCGAAGGATCCTCCGCTTTCGTCTATAGTATAGTAATAATTGTAACCTCGCAGACTTTTACGTTGACTATTGGATGACGAAGATTCTTGTGTTCTCTTGTTTGTTTTTCTTTCCTTCTGTTTTTTTTCACCTGAATTTTCCGCCTCACGCGACTTCTTCCCTCACGCTCGCCATCTCTCTCACTCCGAAATAAATCTAACCTTTCCGCAGATTCCACCTTCTCTCGCTTATAGTCCAGGAAGTATACACACTATACACTCTATTATCCGATATAATCGGTTATCCGCGAGCGAAGAGGAGACGCTCGTTCACCATCCGTCGTGGATAAACGGACAGGAGAACGTTCCCTCCTGTTCGCCGCCCGATAATTGTAATCATCGTGTTTTTCGCAAAGAGACCACCCGTACGCATACTCGTCGCATTCTCAGTCTCGCGGTATACCAAACTTACGTACCTATCTTTCGAGCACTACGATTGCTTTTTTCAACTCACTGAAATACAGCGCGCAGACACACGAAATTCACCTTTGACCTGCCGCGCTGGGAGAGTTCAAAGGAAACGCACAGAACATTACACCGGGGTGAATGACAAACGATAACCGATAAGAGCCTCCTTCTTAAAGCCATCGAGATGTAGCGCGTATATTAATAATACGAGATACAATAGAAATAATCCGAGAAATATTCGGATGCGATCACACGGCGAAGAAGCACCAAGCGCACATGGTTGTTCGTTGACTAGAGAAGAACATTTCCGCATTATAATAAAAATAGTTAAAAAAGTAATAAAAATAATTTCTAATAAGGATAACAAATAGGTTTCCCTCGCAATTTTGAGTGTCGCGTCGACGAAATTGCGCGATTAAAATTGAAGTAGAAATAAAATCACAAATGATCACAATCACATTCGGAAATGTTCGCAACTATGCTCATTAGACCGCGTTTGGTTCCTCCTCTCGCCCAATCGCATCCGCTCATTTCGCATACACTTACTCGATCGATATTTCCACGTTCGCTGTACCTTGTTCTCTCTCTCTATCTCTTCCACACACGCAAAAAAGTCCCGAAAATATAGATTCTCCAATGATTTTCTTTTTATCGAATTTGTCTTCTCGCTCCTTCCTCTCCTTTTCCTATCAACTGCAGACCAGCTTCCGTCACACGCACTCATTTTCTCTCTCTTTCTTTCTCTCACTCACTCTCTCGCATCTCGTACATTTTTTCACGCTCTCTTATACTCTTTTCATGCCATGATATACACGCTCTTGAGCTCCCTTCACGAGCATCCTTCACTTTTCAACCTTCCTGCGTTACAAAGGAAACACGCTTTAAAAGTCCCGCCATTACCATTACACATTACGCGCGCTCATCTCTCGTCTCGTTACGCAAAAATATTCGTCTTGAGCAAAACATTCGGATGTGTTCTACTACACACTAAGAGTATACGTATAGGGTCGACAAACAAAACCGGACGATGCGCTAAAAGTCTCGCGGTAATTGTCGCGTGCAGGGAGGAGAATGTTCCTTTCTCGCCGGTAGTCGCGGTGATAACGCGTTATTTTCTGCATTTCCAAAAGGCCGAAGAATCTAGTCGACGAACGTATTCCCCGAGGGAAGCCTTTCGCTCATTCGACAGGAAGGACGCCGCTTCACTCGCATACGAATCGAATTTATATTTACTGGACGCCGTTTTCTTTTCTTCTCATTTTTCTCTTGTCTACCGGTCAAGCAGCCAGTGTTGTCCGGTCTCTCTATCTACCCTGTATAATCGCTTTAATCGACGAACTCGTCACTCTTCTCGAGAGGAAGGAAAACCAAAAGATATGCATTTCTTTTCTGTATAACGCGGTGTACGGTATATATGCTCCCAATGTGCCTCACTCCTTCTCCCCTTTTTTCTCTCTCTTCACGCGCACCGGCGAAATTTCTAACGGCGAATCCTCGGAACTTAGATAAAAAAGATGTCATCCCGACATCGGAGGCCTTCCTCGCATCTGACGCGTTCACTCGCTAAACCGATACGTTCATATCTCGCGCGACGTCCCGATCACCTCTGGAATGCGCTCGCGCGAACGCGTCGGTCGTCTCGCCTGAGAGTGAATGTCGCTCGCGGAATCGCCCGGCGAGAAAACGATAGTTCGGTTAATCGAATCGAGTTAGTCTCCGATAACGAATATATATAATATATAATTATGCGCGTGTGTATATATATTAATATACGAATGTACCGTTACTCATTAGTAGTAATCAATGAACGTTACTATATAATAAATTTGTATACTTCGTTATCTTAACATTAATATATATATGTATATATCATAATAAATATACAGCAGTGTCTGTGTATATGTTTGCGTGTGTGTAAGTGTATGGCTGCGATTATAAGTGTATATGTGTGTGTGTGTGTATGTGTATGACGCGACACCGAGCAATCGTTCGATTAACCGAACGCGCATTGCGCGACTTCCTGTCGACCCGTTCGCTCGAGCGGCCGATGATCATCGGGCCGACATCGGGACTACTGAAGTAACCAAGTTTCTTCCCACCGCAACATATCGGTCGTCCGTTCGTTCTACTTCTCTGCCCACGACTTGCCGCGTTGCGATACCAGCAGTACTCGAGACTGCTCGGGCGTCGGGGCCTGTCTCGCATGAAGGAACCCCATAACTTCTCAGCCAGTCTTTCTCAGACTCCTCGCGACTCCTCGGAATATCTCCCGTTATATACACTCCTCGGAGTATGCCTCCTCCCGCTTGCCCCTCGTCATCGCCGGAAGCACCAGCTTCCGTCGAATTTCGAGTCGTAGCTACATCCGGCGCACGCAACGTACCAATCGATCCCCGTCGCTCTTCCTGTCCAAGAGCCCGGCGAAAGCTTAATCTACTTCAGGTCCTCCATAGCGCCGTAATTAGCGAGCGATTTCTTGATCCTGAGTGCGGTCAGCCTGGCGGCCGCGTTGTGGTACCAACATTCTTTCATCACCTTCGACATTACCTGCAGAGCCTGAAAGATAGGACGAATTAATTACCAGTCCGATCTCATTAGCACCGGCATGTAAACGCACGCGATCAAGCGGAATATTGACAGCTGAATCGGTACTTTATTCATCATTTATTTCGCTTGTTTTAGGCGGAACTATAGAATTATCTAAAAGAATTTCGGAGAAAAGAGCGACGTATGATCAAGATAATATTTTTTCATCATGCTGTTCGCGCTTTTCTTTACTCACTTCGATCGATTGCCATCGATTCGGTATCGACGGCCGCTGTCGATCGGTGCACACGACTTTCCGCATCTCCTCGATAGTCGGATCGGAAGGCACCAAGTCGTAAAAGGGCAGCTGATACTCGTCGTGAATCCCGCCGACGTTGCAACGCCTGGCGATCTCCCAAAGGATCAAGCCAAGCGCGTACACGTCCGCCCTCTTGAACGAGTCGAAGTGGTTCATGTTTATCGTCTCTTCAAGAACCTGAAAGCAGAAAGCGTTCGTGCGAACTACCGAGGTACCGCCTCGCTGACCGAGTGCAGGCCTGCCACGAATTTTTCCTTGTTATCGCGCGATGCACCCAAGACGTCACGCTCCCAATACTCGTCATTTTTCACCCTTGAGTCTTAACTGATTATCTGAAGCTAATCAACATGCAATATTTCATTTTTCCTAATTAAAAGAAATGCCATTCTAGCTAATAAAAATATTAAACAAACGGTTAATCAAACATTACGATAGTTGCTTTATTATCAATGTCTATATCGTCAGGTTTGAGGATATTTTTAGGAACGTCATATTTTTAGGAACAGGGAGTCGCGGTCAGGACTTGGATTTTCGTTTCCTTCTCTACGCCGAGAGCGGAATATTCGGACTCTCGTTTCTCTCACATCGTAGACCGGTGGGATCCGTTTCGCATGGCGATGATAATTACCTCGGGCGCCATGTATCTCTTCGTGCCGACTCTGTTGTTGAGCTGAATGTCGACGGTATCCGTGATTACGTCGTGCCTGACGGCCAGTCCGAGGTCGCCTATGGCGCAGGTACCATTAGTCTTCACGAGAATATTTTTTGACTTCAGGTCCCGGTGAGCGATAGCCGGCTTGCCTTGCGTGCCGACTATTTCCATGTGAAGATGCGCCAAGCCGGTGGCGATCGACAAGGCCATCCTTATCATACCGTTCGTATCGACGGTCGATCTGTTGAGGTAATCGAAGAGCGAGCCCTTCTCGTGATAATCCGTTATCAGCCACAGCTGCGTCCACGTGCCGTTATCTGGGACCGAAATCGTCTCGATCAGTCGGCGATTTTATTCCGGGGACTTGACTCTCAACAGTAAGATTGTGAAATACATAACGGGGAATCGCGATGAGGCACGACTCGATATTTTTCATGTAACCCGAGCGAATTGCCTTTGTCCACTAGAGATAGACCGTGTACTCGCGAAGATAAAACGTTCTTTCAATATTATTGCAATGCTCTTCGTGGCTGTTCTCCAACAAGTGATAATTCACTCCTCGAGACCAAGCTTACCACTTATGATATAGCTAACGCGTATCACCTTCTCTTAACTGTTAAATCTTGAAAAATACGTATCTCGACGATTCTTCCTCTCGCGTGCCACCCGCAACTTCGCTCGCGTTACAAGCTTAGGCGTATTAAAAGAAAAAAAAAAGAAAAAGAAACGAACACTATACCTTTGTTATCGGCAGCGATGAAGCCCAAGATGTTGTCGTGCCTCAGCATCACCGTCTGATAGATTTCAGCCTCGCGAAACCAGGATCTCTCCTCCCGCGAGCTGAAGATCTTCACGGCGACATTCTCGCCGCGCCAACGTCCGCGCCAAACCTCGCCGAAACGACCCTTTCCGATCGTCTCTACCAGCTGGATCTGGCGCGCTATGCTCCGTTGTACCAGAAGCGGCAGGCCTACTTGAGAGAGGATGGGCATTGGAGAAGAACGCAAATTTCAGTATGATTGAAGATGACTCACACGTCGCGTGTTAGTGGATCAAGCCTGACCGTGAGACGATTAAATTAAACATGCGTGCGCGGGCGCGCGCGTACCCGCGCGCACCGCGAAAATGCGGCGCGAAAAACTCGTCGTTAGCAGGAAAATCGAAAGCGCGCGATGACTTATCGTGAATTTCGCGGGCTACGTCATACGAGCGAAACCGCCGGACTCCAACGTGGCGATGACTCGTGTGTTACGTGTTACGGCAAGTCGTATCTACGAGACGATTATGCTGAACGCATTTGTCGATACACATGTGCAAACAAAGGAGGACGTCGGAATGATGATTTAAAAACCCGACGAGTTCGGTAAGAGTTCGCGACGTGGTAAGAATCGAGACCGAGAAATTACGTGGGACGATTCCTCCCGCTGCTCGTAAATTCCTCTTTCCAACTCGTAAAACGCAGGACGAAAATTCGCAACTGTCGCTTGGTTGTGTGCGACTTGATAGCTGTGCTGGATATTAATCGATTAAAACTCAATGAAAATGATCGACAAGTCAATAATGAAAACTAATCAGCCGTCGTGTGTGCAATCACGAGTAATTTTAATCGCGATTGATGAAATTAATGAAAATTTTAATCGATTGATATCCAATACTACTCGACAGGCACACGATCGTGTGATTAGATGTGTGCTGATGGCGACGTTGTCTTCGCGAGAGAACGCCTCCGCCAGGAACCTTCGACGCAATACGCCTTTCACCTTGTCGTTCTAGGTTCAATCTAGTTTCGAGCGAGCAACTTTAATTTAATTCGACCTACCCGAGCCACTGCCGCTCGTAGTCATCTCCAGCATGTCCCTGATAGTGACGCCGTCCAAGATCGGCCGGTCCGGTGCATCATGCGAGTCGTCCGGATAGTGCCTGTCCCGCTTCTTCCTTCTGCTGCGTCGTATGTGATAGATGATCATTACGATCACGCTCAGGCCGACTATCGGGCCTGCTATCGCCACGGCAGTTACCCAGTTGATCTGCGACTTGCCGCCACCGCCCGACGACGCTTTCCGGCAAGTAGGATCGGTCCGGTTATTATTCGTGTGGGAGGAGGCAATCGATGGAGAAACGCTGATTTCGACCACGCGGTGCATCGACAATCCACGACGAGGTGTTATTCGCCTCACGCGGGAGACACTCTACGCGTCACCTTGCGAGCTACTTACACATTACAAATTTCGCAAACATGTGTGCGAAAAGGTTCTCCCGTGCGTCGCTCTGTTACGCAACGAGACGGGCAAGCGTAGAACTCGCGAGGCTCCGGTTCCCCGTCTATTTTCGACGATGATTAAGACGTTGCTATGTATATAATTTCGGCGCGGTATATTATTTTGTCGAATCCCGTCGAATTCACCAGGCGAAAGGAAAAGTCGACTACCGCTGAGTTCGGTCGAAATCAGCATCGCTCGTTCGATTCGAAAGCGAGCAGGCGCGAGCGAATTTTCTCCAAGAAGAGAGAGCCGAGGCAAGATATGTAGGCGTTAAGCGAGAAGCGGAAACGCACGAAAGCAAGGCAACACGCAACAAATTGGCAAAATGAAGAGAGAACACGAGCCGTGCACACGGCATTGTTAAAGGCGGTCAAACAGATACATGTGTATGCGTTACGATTAATACAAAGGGGCTTTTAATGCAAGAAGGACAAGATTACAGTCGATTCGTTCCATTTCGTGCAAACTGTCGCACTGTGACTACGTGATCAGCAGCTTCCAATCTCCAAGCAGGTCGCATTGGAAATTTTCCGAGAGTCTTTCCGAAGAAATTAGTCGGAGCGCGTCAACGAGCGCGCGATCGCGACCTCGACGACTCGTCGAATTCTCGACTTGGAAATTTCACGCAAATCTTAACAGCTACTATACTCGAGCCGAATTTTTATGTGAGCCGAATCAGCCTCTCGGCTGGGCAGTTTCGCGCTCTTTATGTAATGTTGACCGATATTAATGAGGCCAATTGCGAGCGAAAACAGCCGTTTATCAAAGTATTTATCTTCCTTCATGGTCAGAACAACCCCGACGACTTATCCCCGCAATCGCAAAGTGTTCTAGCTGTTAAATCCAAAGTGCGAGTCCTGCTTTCATCCGATGTAATTCAAGCTTACATCACGATGAGTCATGTTGCGGAGAGATATATTGTGTTTCATCGACGAGTCTTATCGAGACGTCCGCGGCACGTCGAAGTATGTACGATTGCACTTACCTGATCAGTCGCGACGTCGAGGAGGAGCGCATTGGCGTGTTATCACCCTCTCTCGGGACACACAGGTGCTGTTAATCGGTCAGTCGACGAAAAACCAACACAAACGTGAGAACGGTATTAAGCGGCGCCCGAGGGTGCCGGCCGATATAGAAATCACCATGAAACCGAGCGATCTTCTAGTTTGTCCCGACTCGTCAATCCCGATAATTCGCGATTAAGTCCCCGTGCAGAGAAAAGCCGATGTAAAAAAAAAGACAAAAAAAAATACGGGAGATGTTTCGTGGTTAATGCAGTAAATTTCGCGTCCAAGATGCCAAGCTATACACGTGTCTGATGCCTCTCCCGACAAACGAGAGAGAGAGAACAACACTGGACCTGGAAAGGAGGTTGCCCCTGCGTCGAAATTACACTGTAAGGCGGGTGAATTAAATGATCGCGCCCCCGCAGGATGCGTGCGAGGGTCGAAGGTGATAAAACTCGGGCGGACGATCAAAGCAAACAGCCGCGGCTCATCGCGGAATTAAACGGCCGCGAAATCCAATCGGCGGCGGTAAACGTGGAGCCGCGTGTTCGCGGTGGAGGATAGGACGGAATCGCGAATATAATTGGATATTGATCCCCGTGAAAAGACTTGAATGAGATGACAGGCAGCACACGGCAGGGTGACTGATGAATGATCGCACACGTGTGTCCGACGATGATGAGCACCCCAACAGAGCAATCGGAGAGTAACACGGCGGCGGCGGCGTGTGTACCTTGCTGACACTTGTCATTGTCGTGGTCGAGCGAGCGTCGTTTCGCGGAAGCGTGTCAAGCGCTTAAGTAACAATTAACCCGTCTGTTTCGTCGCATAATGCTGCGCCGTTTTTTGCATGCCACCGACAGGGACTCGTGGAATTGCAACAGCGACGCTCCTCGAGCCACACAGAACGCTCAACGCGAATTAGTTCCCAGAAAAGCATATCCACGCATCTCTCAATTTCTCCACGACTGTTATTCTTTGGTTACGATTAAAACAAAACAGTGATGCAGTTTGAGGCATCTTTTATACGACTGAACGGTTCTTTTAACGCAGCGCTTTGTCCAATCGAATTTCGCTCGGTCTCGTAGACGAAGGTACACAGATTCAGCAGGCACGACGATCTCGCGAGTATTCGATAATGCGACGCGTACCAATATCGAGGGCATTGCAACTAATGGCTTAATGCAAAAGAGTCTTCCGCGTGCCGCTGATAAATCCTCGTCCGGGGCTGATTAAACCGCCACGTGAGCGTCGAATTCCACGAGCGCGCGCACGTCTCGTGCCAATACGAAATCGCCGCTGAACCCGATAACCGGCTGTCCTCGCGGATTTATTGGGGCACGTATAATCGATGAATATCGTTCGCCGACCCGCACTCCAATCACCCCTTCGTCCAAATCGCGTTGTGTACGCCTCGTTACTTTATATTCCCGTTCCATTCGCGCCGGCAAATTGTATCCTCCTCGCCTGCCACATTCCCCGCGACGGCGACGACGACGTCCGCTTTCATACCAGCCCGTCGAAATCTACCCCCTCCCCCCCCCCCCC